CCAAGGTGGAGAGAATCGGACGTGGAATCTAACCCGAACTCTGGGTGAGGATAGCCCTTCGGTGGTGCTTTCAGTGCCTTCGTTTGGGCACTCCACGGGCTTAAAATCTCTATTCGCAACCACCTCTTCTCAAAGGGTATCACTCTTCTCAACCGAGTGGAGGGGTGCAAGTCCGATCAATTCTCCGTTCCAGGGGGGTTTTTCGCTGGCAGGTCGGTCGCTCGATCTATTTCAGCACCCCAATGCCCGAAACTTCAGTCCCTTCCTGGAGAGCATGATCCCACTGCTGAAGGACGCCATCTTCGAGGACTTGCTCCTTAGGGTGCGATCTCGCGGGCGTGGGGTGTCGCCTCAAAACAGCTTTGGCAAAGAAGGAAAAGCTCCAAGACACCCCGAAGTCTTCGAAAAAGACATGGTTCAACCACTCGGAAGATAAAGAAAAGTTGACAGTTGAAAGACCCGTATTGATAATTACAATTTCAGACCCCCGGGGGCCCGGGTGAACACTTTTCCCAGTCTTTCAATGTCTTTAAAAAAAGGGGTGGACATGGAGATGATTCTTTTGCCAAGGTGGAGAGTGGGGTGCTCAGGTTCCATGAACACCAAATGGATCAAGTGCTTTGCACGGCGAACGTTCGAGGCGCTGAGACAACGCTGTCCTCAATGAGTGCAAAAAGAAACTGGAATGCCCATCCCTCACATGTACCGTCTCTCGTCATTTCGAGAAATGTACCGGAGATTGTTGGATGAAGATTGTTGGGTGCCCATTCCATACCTGAAACTGCAAATCGCTGAATTTTACGGCATATTCCTTGGTTATTACGGCATATTCGCAAAATGGCTGAAAAAGGCCAGGCAAACGCAACTCCAGGTATGTACAGTTCATTTAGGATAGGCATCCGGTCCGCCTGCGGTACTCATCGAAGCGCAGACGGAGTTGTGTCGATTTTCCTTTCACAATAGGCAGAGTTGTGTCTAAGTCCTAAATCAGAGGGGTCTCTGCCAATGCCTTGGCAGGACCAAACCATGTTTGCAGTCAATTGACTCCAAACAGTTTCGTTTCAGGATCTCTTTGGTGCGTCGTTCGTGCATCGTTTTACGATGGCAAACGGTCAACACGTACCCGAAAGTATATTCCTATGGCGTCCAGCTGTTTGGGAACAGCATGTGGTTCGCAAAACACATCCAAACACGGACGACGTCTTAATAGGCCGCCCGGCAATAGCTACGTCGCCAAGCAGCACAGATAGACCCAGACAAGGCTGGAACAGACCCGGACAACAGGGGGCGGTGCTTCTTTTTTCCTAAGAGAGAGAGAGAGAGAGCCTCAACAGCACGCCGTTGGAGAAAAATATCGTCTTTGGACTTCGAGGTGGAGTTTTCTGGGTCCCTACCATCGCCAAGATGCACAGAGCTTGCCCGAGAGTTCGCAGCTTTCTATTTCGCTCGACGCAGAGATCATGCAGTGGCCATGAGTGAATCTTCCCCAAAAATTGTATTCAAACATTTGCAAACCCCTGGGCAGAACGATATCCTCCAGTCTATCGAAACCGGCGCCGATCCTCAAACACTGCAGGCTGCTGGGCAAAGTTGCTTGCTTAAGGCACTCGAACCACTGAACAAAAGTAATGATTTGAAGCCTGCTCGGCCAAGCCACTCCCTCCAAGCTCTGGTTGAAATGGTTGCCAAAAAACAAACTTTGGAGGCTGATCGGCCAAGCCACTCCCTCCAAACTCTGGTTGAAATCATCGCCAAACGTCAAGCTCTGCAGGTTGCTGGGCCAAGAAACTCCCTCCAGACTCTGATTAAAATCAAAGCCAAATGTCAAGTTCTGCAGGCTGCTGGGCCAAGCCACTTCCTGCAAACTCATGTTGAATCTGTTGCCAAGAGTCAAGCTCTGAAGACTGCTGGGCCAAGCCACTCCATCCAGATGTTGGTTGAAATTGTAGCCAAACGTCAAGCTTTGGAGGCTGCTGGGCCAAGCCACTCCCTCCAAACTCTGATCAAAATAATCGCCAAACGTCAAGCTCTGCAGGCTGCTGGGCCAAGCCACTTCTTGCAAACTCTGGTTGAACTTGTTGCCAAGAGTCAAGCTCTGGAGGCTGCTGGGCCAAGCCACTCC